CTGCTGTGCTATTAATTAGATTATTAAATTTTGTTGATATTTGTGTAACTTCACAAATTTATTTCGAAAAACTACACTACAAAACCACGAGCGTATTTGTGCTCGACCGTCAGAATATATAAAGAAATTGCGAGTATAAAAGTCATTCAATTGTAATTACTCAATACATAACTAGATCATAACGTACAAAAAATAACAAAAAATAAATTATACTGAAATTATAATAAAAGTACATATATAAAATGATGAGGGTAAGTGGGATCTGGTATTGTCTGGGAGAGACTGCCCAATGAAATGGTGAATATGGGGATGAGACTCAGACACAGCAAACTTACTGTTCGGTTAGTAAGGGACAGCCAACGGGAACTTTGGGCTCAAATCTTTCACTTTTAAATTTCCAATATTTTTACGCTATTTTAGGACAGTCAAATCAAAACTTCTCTAGAATAGATATTTTTAAAGTGAATAAATAAATATGTATATAATTTTAAATTTTAGTGGATTAAAATTAAGATATATTATAAATATCAGTTTTTTTTTTTTTTTTAAGAAAAGTGTTTTATTAATCAAAAAATATTTTTTCTTTTCTTTTTAATTTGCAGAACAGTAAGTATACACTATATTATTGGCAATGGCACAGAACACTCAATGTTCATCCAACGTTGATGCCTCACTGCATGCATGCAATGCATCATTTTGCATAGTTTGCTTTATTTTTTCGTGATAGGTTTACCATATAAGTTAATTACCATAAAAAAGAGAGCATATAAGTTAAATATTTATTTATCTATATGTAGAGTAGAAACAAAATGGTACATTGATTTAAGAATTGACTTTCCTATAATCCTCAATAATTTTTTTCATAAATTATTTTTATTTATTAAAATGTTAAATTATAATTATATATATTATTTTAATAAAAAATCATATTAAGTTACTAATTTTTTTTTCATCTATAAGATACTAGTTTGTCAAAATTATTTTGTGATATCTAAAAATTGAGATTGAACGTAATATTATTGAAAGAACAAAATAAAACTTTTATCCAAGTTGATTTTGCATGTCAAATTTTGGGTGTAAAAATAGATAGAAATAAGTATGATTGTAATTGTTAATTTTTTTTTTTCCTTAAAAAGTATAAGATACTGTCGAAATTCTAGGTTATAAGTATATAAAGAGGAAGAAAAGGATAAAATAGAAAAATAGTATATATTGATGTGACATGAAGTGATTTATGTGATAGAAAAAAATAAGTCATTAAGGATACCAAAAATAAAATAAAATAAGTCATTAATCTTAATTTATACTTAGATAACAAACTCTCAAAATAAGAAAATAAATTTATATATATATATATATATATGGGAAAAATATTTCTCCGGCAACTTGAGATAATTTTATCTCCGGCCACCCCAAAACTACGTCGTTTTATTTATTTATTTCCTTATATATATATATATATATATATATATATAGTAATCGTTGGCTTTTTGACCCTTTTGCCCCTCATTAATTAATTAATAACCAATTTGCCCCCCAGAACTATCCATCATCCTGCCCCCATTTAGTCGATCAAGTTGCACTTTTAATCGACTAAATGGGCAAAATTCAGAAATCAAGAAACATGAATTTTAGTCGACTAAATATTCACCTTGATCGACTACATGTCGAGCACATTTAGTCGACTAAGGCCATTATTTAGTCGACTAAATATCGCGGATCAGGATTTTTAAAACCCCCCATTTCGCAAAGGGGGTTATTTTCAAACCCTAGTCGACTAATTTCGCTCCAAGAACCCCTCTCTTCAACCAAGTCCGAATCTCATCCCTTGAAGGTCCGATTGAAGCATCATTGGTTCACAACTTGCGAAATTGACATTGTAGGTAACGTTTTCTGACTTGCATTTGGTTTTAGGTTTAGGTTTTTTTTTGTTTTCTCCATGCTTTGGTTTCTGTTTTTTTAAATTTCTTGTTTATGGTAGAAGGTTGTTTGCGGTTTTGTGGCTTTAGGTTAGGGGTAGGGTGTTGAGTTTGATGTGAGGGTAATTGACTAGGGTTGATGTGGTAGCTTAGGGTTAGGGTTAGGGTTAGGGTAAGGGCTGCTGTTTTGTTTGGGGTGTAGGGTTAGGGTTCCTGTTTTTATGTTAGGGTATAGGATTGTTTTTCCTGTGATGGGTTAGGGTTAGGGTTGTTGTTTTAAGTTGGGTTTAGGGGTAGGGTTTCTGTTTTTATGTTATGGTTAGGGTTTGGGTTTGGGTTGCTGTTTTTGATTGGGTTTAGGGTCTACGTTCCTGTTTTTATGGTAGGGTATAGGTATAGGGTTTGTTTTATGTTTTATTTTCGGGTTAGGGTTTAGTTTTTTATATTGAATTTTAAAATTTTTTGATATTGTTATTGTCCATTGATATTGTTTCCACTTGCATTGTAGGTATCGTTGTTCCCATGGCTGGGCGTAGAAGATCGGATAACGTGGGAAATGAGAGACATAAGAAGCTACGACAAGACCGTCCGTCTTCGTCAAGGCCACAAGATGAAGAGCCCGCTCCTGTCGACCTCCCATTCGGATACTTGTTCGAGCATGACCCTGTGGTTCATGATTCATTTGTCCGTGACTTTGCTAACCGACCCATATGTGGGGCCAAATCACTTGATACATCATTTTTTGAAGTAGAAGGTTTTAACATTGTGAGGTGGTTGGAGGGAGCACATCTTAGGGTTTTGGCTGAACTGTCGTGTTCATATTCAGAAAATAAGGGAAATGACAATGATTTCACAATTACTATGCTTTAGAGATTGTGGGATGAAATGGAAGGGTGATTGGAAGGATCACAGCTGACAAACAAGAGAAAAAGGGGTTTTGATTTCGAAGATATTGCAAATGAGACCGAGAGAGGTCTGGATATAGGGTTTTATGCGATATTTAGTCGACTAAATAATGGCCTTAGTCGACTAAAGGTGCTTGACATGTAGCCGATCAAGGTGAGTATTTAGTCGACTAAAATTCGTGTTTCTTGATTTTTGAATTTTGCCCATTTAGTCGATTAAAAGTGCAACTTGATTGACTAAATGGGGGCAGGATGGTGGATAGTTCTGGGGGAGGGGCAAATTGATTATTAATTAATTAATAAGGGACAAAAGGGTCAAAAAGCCCGTAATCGTTACTTGTTTGTTATCATTTAAAAAAAGTTACGTCATTTGTTACATTTTTAACAAGAAATCTGATATTTTAACATGATTATTTAGGTTGGTTCACTACTAGCCTAACTTATCTACGTTATTATATAAACAAACTCAAACACAAACAACAAGCTCAATTTCTAATTGGCAACGCTTAAATATTGTTTTTCAGTAACATAAATTAAAAAGTAAAAATTCTAATATAACATACAAGCGTTTGAGTCTAGTGACATGCTATGAACTTGAAACGGGGCAATCTGTCTTCTTTGGGTTTAATTTTTTTCAGAGATAATTTTATTTGCTATACACACATAAAAATATGTGATATTCATATTTTTTCTTTCTTTTTTCTCTTCATATAGCCCCACTTGGGGCTCACATATTTTTATGTATGTATAGAAGTCCAAATTTATTTCTTATAACATGAGAAATATTATTTCCATCTTTTTTATATATAAACTAAAAAAAGCCCTAGAAAAAGAAGAGAAAAGCAAGTCTCTAATGCAGAAGGTATTAATCTTCTCAAATTTTGTGTGTAACTGAGAGCATAGATTCCCTGAATTGGATGACTAGGTCTCACTCTCAAAGGTTAGATTCTTTATTAGAGATTGAATTTCACTAAGATGGTTTTACTGTCACATTTCTTTACCTTTTAATCCATAAAAAAAATCAACTGGTTGAGGCAGTGTTTTAAAACCACCGCTCGGGTCGATCCAGATTTCGGTAATCTGATGAGGGCACCAATTTGAGCTGACCATTGGACCTATCATGCAGTTGAATCAATTTTTACCTGTTGAATCAATTTCGAGCAATTGACTCAGCTGAGTCTCAATGACTCAAAGGTAAAGTTGTGTTCTCCCTTAAATCGATTTTTAAAAAATTGGACAAAATATTTCACTTTTAACTGTGGCTGAGAATCGAACACAACCAATGGGAATGAGTAGAGTAACCCAGTGAGGGCACCGATTCGAGCTGGCCATTGGATTGGTCATGTAGTTGAATCGGTTTCGACTGGTTGACTCGGCCAAGTCTCAGTTACTTGCGAGTCAAGTTGTTTTCTCCCTTAAATTGATTTTTAAAAAATTAGACTAATATTCCACTTTTAACAGTGGTCGTGAATCTAACACAACTTATGGGAGTGAGTAGTGTTATCACCCTCAATTGTTGATCAAAATGTATCTTATAATATATTTATTATACAATTTAATATAAATTTAGGACAAAATATCCTACTTTTGACTGTGGCTGAGAATTGATCTCAGCCTATGAGAGTGAGTAGTGTTATCACTTATCACTAGGCTACCCTTTATTGTTGGTCAAAATGCATCTTATAATATATATTTTTTATTTAATTTAATATATATTTAATTAAACAATTGAACCAATAACTTAAGAATAAATACCTTTTTCGGTCCTCAGCAAATTTCACGATGTCCGCTTTAGTCCCTAGCAAATAAAAAAGCTATTTGTGGTCTCTAAGAAATTCAAAATGGATCCATTTTAGTCCTTTTGGACTAATGTGGATCTTTTTTGAATTTGTAAGGGACCACAATTTCAACTAAATAGATTCTTTTTAAAGTTTTTAAGAACCACAAATAACTTTTTTATTTGCTAGGAACTAAAGCGAATGCGGAGCAAAAAGAGTATTTAGTTATAACTTAATAGCCTATTACCTTAATGAAGCCGAGTTTTAAAAGACTGGGTTGACGAGACAAGAAATAGAAAAAAATTATGGTCGGGAAGAGGGATGATAAAAAGACAACATAGAGAAATCGAGAGGTAGCAAAAGTCACTGTTTGGGAACTTGAACCACTGAGAGTGAGAGCAAGTCTATTTAAAGCCTTTTGCAGCTGAGCACTTGCTGGACTTGGCTTACGAGATCTGTGCACTGTACACTTCACTGCACTACCTTGCAAAATTTCCATATATTTTAGTTAAAGAACCTCCTAAAGAAGATTCACCAAAATGAAGGTATGAAAGAATTGCTCTCTCTTAATGCTAATATTATTATTCTATGCCAATTAGTTGTAGTTCTGAATTTTTAAGCAAGGTTACCTTTTCATTTTTGCAGATTTTTGAATGGATGCAAAACAAGCTTAACGGGAGCAAAGAGAAAAAGAAACCAATCTTAATTTCAGCTACTCGTAAGCTTTCTTTTTTTTTTCTCTGTTTGCATCAATCTCCAATGACAAGACCTATATGTAAGTCCTTGTCTCTTGATCATTTTGTGCCATAGTTTACATGGCTTAATGTATGACCTGATTATGACATTGGCTATAAATTTTGTTTCTAGATGTAGATAATGATGAAACACTACTCTTTACAGAGTCAAGAACAAAACAATGTTCACAGAAATAAGGTTTTGGGTAATCTTCCCTCATTTCTACAGGAAAAGAAACGTGCCACCTGAGCTTTTTGTACTGTTTTCAAAAAGGATCAGTTTGAAATTATAATTCAGTTGATAAATCAACTAGCTTATGTTCTAACGTGCTTGAAATATTTATCCATTTCAACTTTTGAGTTTGCTAAGAATGGTGTTTATATTACTTTATATCATTCTTTTTTTTTTTTTTTTTTGGTACATACTTTATATCATTCTTTAAGCCAAGTCAGTTTGATAATTGAATTTTTATTTTTTATTTTTATTTTACAACAGATTATATGCTGCATGAACCTTGCAAACAAGAGTTCAGTGACTGGCCTCAAGCATTCCTTGCAATTGGAACGTTTGGGAATAACAATTTGAAAGAAGAATCTGGTAATAGGACTAAGAGTACTACAGAGGATTCATCTTTCTTTCAGGATTGTATACAGGAGTTCATGCTTGAAGAAGTTGGAAAACTTCAGAATGAATTGAACATATATTTACGGGGACCTATGGAATCAAATTTGGCTGCAGAACAAAAAGAAAACTCCAATGATCTCATCAACAAATGTTTAAACAATGAACATTCAAGCTTGGAACTTGAAGGAAAAGAAAATGAGACATTTTCTGATGACTCAAATATTAACCATGGTAATTTCTACCCGAGCAACAGATTAACATACAGCAGGGGAAAAGATCATTGTTTGGATAGCAGAAAAAGTGGATTTGGCAAGAAATCATTTTTTTTCCTTCTTAAGAAGATATTTCTTTGCAGAAGTGGATTTCAACATAGTCCTATTTTCAAAGATCCACTTTCCTCAGAGTCCAGAATGGAGAAGGTAGATGAGAAACCTTACAAGCCTGTGTTCTCACCCCCATTAACTTCTTTATAAACTATCTTACTCTTACTTTGCTTGTGATTACAGATTTTGAGGGCAATACTTCACAAAAAGATATATCCCCAAGGTTCAGGTTCAACAATGCTTCATAAGAAGTACCTAGATAGCAGACTAATGCCTCAATCTGATGATGATGATGATGATTATGATGATGATGAACTTACTACTACTACTACAGAAAATGGAAGTAAATGGGTCAAGACAGATTCTGAATGTAAGTTCTACACATTATTCATTTTTTTTATGGTATATTAATCATATACATTAGTTTGACATAGTACCTAAGTTCATGTACTCAAGTCTGAGTTATTTGATTTGCAAGATTGTGCCTAAGCTATTCTGACAATACATATCTATTTTGCGGTAGCAGATATCGTTCTTGAGATATAAAAGGCTTCTTCTCATGTACTACTCTAACTGATTATTGATGCTCAACTCTGCTCATGGAAGATAATTGCTTAAACAGAATGGAAGTTGAATTGTACCTACTCTTTTGAATGTAAGAACCACGCCAAGGAAAGGTGACAAACTGGAGGCTGAATTGGGGAAAAAGTTTAGATTTTAGGACCATTGTAACACATGAATGTCAGAAAGCATAATCCAGTTTCTTACTATCCTAATGTCTATATTTCTAATAAAGAGATAAATTCAACAATAAGTTATTTTTCTTTTCAATCTTTGAAGGAAGCTTTTACTAGAAAGTGTTAATTCCACTAGAAACTGAAAGGAAGCTTTTACATGTTAAAGCCATGTAAGCATATTTCTACAATATGGCAAGAAAAGAGCGTATATATATGCAATGCAAGGGCCAGCATTAATGTTTCATAATGTTGAATATTTTAGTATTAATCGGTTCCACCTACCTCGGTTTTCTATATAAAATTAAGGGGAATGCATTTGTCATGTTACATGACAAATGAATAGTTGTGATGTTAAGAAAAAGACAAGATAAATTCATTGAATAATGTGTCCTCTCATTTTTTTAATATTATATAATTTGTCTTTTTCTTAACATAACAACTATTCATTTGTCATGTAACATGATAAATGCATTTCCCTAAAATTAATCTAACTACTTTCTCAACAATGTAAGTAATTTAACTACTTTTCAAAAGATGCAAAACACATTAACAATAAGTAATTCAAGTTAAAGGAAGGTTATGGGCTTATGGCCCTCTTTGGGGACCATAAGTAATTAAAGGGGATATTTAATTAATGTATTATATATGTATAAAATAATTGAAGGGGTAGCGTGTGTATTATTAAAGTGACAAATGTGACATTTTAGAAATATAAATGGGTCAGACGGCTTGTCAGGGGTTTATCGCCCGACTTGTCTTGCCTTAACCCGTTTTAAAAATAGCACAAATTTTAATTCATTAAAAAATCTCTTTAGAAATCAGATCATAAGCCTATTTTAGAAAATCTAACCTCTAAGCCTCCAAGTTCAACTCTTATTTTGTAATAAATAATATTTTATAAAATTAATAAAATAATATCTTATTATTTTTTAATAAAATGATATGTTGTTATTTTCAATAAAATAATATTTTATATTTTCTAAATTTACTATTTTTCGCAATCTTCTATATTCTCTCACTTAGCAAATATATATTTTTCTTAACCCTATATTTTTTCACGGCCGCCACTCTTCCCTCCTCCACCAAAATTTACAACATTTTTTTCTCGTTCTCAACATATCATCCCTTCCAAATCATCCATCACTCACCATTGACTCTTAAGATTTTCGCTGCTGATAGTGAGTCCTCATTCTTCATATTTCTTTATCTCTTTTTTTCTCATTGACAAAATTACATCTTTTCAAATTTTTCTTAAAAAAAAAAAGAGACGTTTAGACTTACTACCTGATTGATTACTTATTTGACTTATGGGTGTTATATGTATCTATTATCTTGTTCTTGTTTGCTCGTCATGTGTTTATGTGTGTTATTTATTTATTTATTTAATTGTTTTTTATTTGGAAATTATCATATAAGTTGGTTGGTGGACATCTTAAGAGCTGATACTTCGTCCTTATTCTCCATAATCCTTGCTCTCTCTTTTTTGTCCCATGACAAATTTTGTTTCTTTCCAAAATTTTCATTAAAGAAATAACATATTATTTGGCTTGTGGGTGTTATTTGCATGCATCTAGATATATTATTTTCTCTTTAATTTCTACAATAATTGAAATCACAACCCAAAATGTTGGCAATTTAATTATGTTATTTGAAATAAAAAACAATCAATTAAATCAATTATATTGGTTTTTTATTATAAAATTAAATTTTAATTTAGTTTATGTTGATATTTAAAAGTAATTTATATTTAAGTCTGTTTGATGAAATTATTTGGATTGACATTTATTATATTTTATTGAAGGCTTGATAGGTGAGATTAAGCCTTATATTTTTTTTAAAATAAATTAGATCATACTTATAATTTAACTTATATCAAATTACTAAATCACCAAATCCATTTTAGCAGCTTGACTTGGTCTCGGACTCATGTTTACAACCTAGTGGCTTTTTTTTTTTATTGAGATTCTACTCTTCTTTCGATTCGTTAAAAAAATAGAATAAAAGTTAAAGCTTTAATCCTGGATTACTTTGGGAGAAGTTTAAAACATTAATCTTGAATCCGTCTCGAATGAAACGATGAACCAGTTGAAATATTTTCAAAAAAAAATAGAATAACAGTTCTTTACATCAAAAAAAAAATTGGGCCAATGAAACACTTTCGGTGAGTAAATTTATAATCCAGGATTGAGGTCCACTTTCAATTTTACTCTATTTATTATTATTTGTATTTGTATTTATTTTTTCTTTTGTACCAAAAATGGCAACATTATAGAAAAATCAAATATCATCCATAGTTTGCAAACCAAACTCCTCAAATCAAAGGTCAAACAGGGAGTGAGAGGCTCTGAAGCTTTGTTTTCACACTGTCACTCTCTCTCTCTCACTCAAATAAAACCATACAGGGAAGAGAGAGAAACCACAAGAACGAAGCAATCTATCTTTCCCGTAAGTTCCGATCGAAAAGTTCCAACCTAACTCCTTTAAAATGTGAAATATTATTTGAATTAATTCTTTTCTTGTTTTTCTTTCCCTTCTCAAATTGAGAGGAAAATAGAGGGTTATCTTTTTTTTCTTGGTAAAGTTTTTTTTTTTTTTTTTTGGTTTAAATTATGGGGTTTGAGAAGTGAAGCTGATAATAATGCATGTAGAGGTCACAAATTTTGCAATGTTTTGTGTTTGAGATTGTGGGGTTGGGATGTCATTGAATTTGAAGGAGGTTTTAGATCAAAGTTGGTTGCTTTTTCAGGTGCCACGCAAGTATCAGCATAATGTCTTGGGCTACCCCTGATGATGTCTTACTATCCACCTCGCTTGCTACATACCTAGACAGTATAATCTCTTTCTCCGCCTCGTTTTTCATGATTTTCATGTTCAAATTATCATATGCGACTCTTTTCTGATGAGAGAGTAACTTGCCCTCAATTTTTTTTTTTTTTTTTTTATTACCCCCCACCAACCCCCAATATACTGTATTTCTCTGTTCCATTGTGGTTTTTGTACATCAATTGTGCATTGTAGTCGTTATAGATTTTTGTGGTGCTAATGCTTTAATATGAAGCGATGAATTATTGGACGAACAGAAGCATTGAATAATGGAAACTTTTCACCAAAGATGAAAAAATATTATTATGCATGAGGGCTAGTAGACATATTTATCAAGAAAGGAGGATTAGCTAAGCTGCCTGGGTTAGTGCAGGTTGTTGGAATGGGTGGGGATTTCGATAGTTGGGGTAATGGCTCCTTGTTGTATCCAAAATGGAAAGGGTGACCAGTCCTTGATTCTGTAGAATTCTCCTTCATCTGAACACTTGTTTAGTAAATTCTTCTATAACCACTTGATCAGTGAACGAGTATAAATTTAGAAAATGATAGAAGTGAAACTATTTAAAGAGCTTTCAGCAAGAATTCTTTTTTTTTTTTTTTTTTTTGCTATTCTGGCTAAATGATTTTCTGAGAGTATTTTGTGTTTTCATCTCTGGGGGAAACAGTGTGTTTAGGGAGGATTCTATCAATTATGCCAAGCTTAGTGTATGTCAAATTGTCAGCCATTCATTGAAGTACTGAACTCTATAAATAGTGCTTTAGATCACTGCATCTGGGATTTAACTAGCGGGCTTTCACCCCACTTCTGTTACACGAAAATGATGGAAGTTAATCACTGCACTTCGTTTCTGTTTACAGTTTGCATGCTTTTTATCTAGCATTTCTGTTGTGATATTATTTGTTCTTATATGTTTAATTTCAGTTAAATGTAGATTGAAATCATTGAACTGAATGATGAGATATGGCAACACATAGTAAAGTTTTTCTTCTAAATTATATGTATTTTTCACAGAAAAACTTCTTGTCCTGTTACGAGATGGTCGAAAACTTTTGGGATTATTACGCTCATTTGATCAATTTGGTAACTATCGGTCCGACATGCATTCTTCTTTATGAAGTCACTATTATTATTATTGTTTATTTCTAATATTAACTGACAATGTGATGTGATGACCATGTACAGCTAATGTTGTTCTTGAAGGTGCATGCGAACGAGTAATTGTGGGTGATCTTTATTGTGATGTCCCTTTAGGCCTATATGTAATTCGTGGGGAAAACGTTGTCTTAATTGGAGAGCTGGTATGATGTGTTCTACATCATTTCATATCAGTTGAGTACTGTTAACTACTTCTCAAAGGAGTCTAAATAATTTTGCAATTTTGTATCAATGGTATAGGACTTGGGAAAGGAGGAGCTTCCGCCACATATGACGTGTGTTCCAGAGGCTGAGATAAGAAAGGTAAGTCCATCAACTAGTTGATAATAAAACAATTGGATATTTATCTCACATATTTTAACATAATAAATATGACGTCCCGTGGATCAATTAATTCTTGTATGCAAATGGCTATTTTGCATATAAGGACCTTTTGATGCATCTTTCTTTCTTTCTTTTTTCTCCTTTTTTTTATTTTTATTTTATTTTTTACATTGCTGGGTTGTGGACCTGTGGTGAAGAGAACATGGCTAATTGACCCAAATAATGTAATTATTGCCATTTTCGCTTGTTGTGGAAACTGCTGGCCTCTCTAGTTCACTCTTTTTTTCAGTGGGAAATTTCCACGTGAACAGGTGCTTTTCGTATGCAAGTTGCTGGTAACACTAGACGGTCCCCCCCTCCCCCCATTTTTTCTATTATTTGGTAAAGTGTATCTACCAAATCTTTCAAATTCACCTGCTGCACTATTACTGGTTCCTCATTTGTCAGAGGCCATTAACATGATTAGATGAGGCCACCAGATTTTCCTTCCTCAAACTAAAGTCTTTTGTTTTCCCAGGATTCTCAGTAGAAAATGAAGTTTCTTACTAAGAATCCAAAACGTTGGGCCGTTGGGGATCATCTTCCCCTTTGAAATTTCTGTTAAAGTCATCTGCTAAATCTTCGTCAGTCTTATTTATCTCAACATAATTATAAATAGCAGTATCTACCTTTGGCATTTAAACAAATACTTGATGCTAACCATTTCTGCATTCTGGTGGGAAATGGCAAGTGACAGAAACATTGTCCTGCTTGTTGTTAGAAATATAATATAAAATATAAAACTAATAATGTGCCTTCACCTAACAACTTAAACTTTTGGGTTAAAATAATTCTTCAATAAAAGATTTCAATTCTCACCACCCCATTCTTCTAATAAAGATTTAATTTTCATTTTTCAAATCCAAATAAAAGGGCTCTTGGTGGGGTGGGCCTGTAAATCATCTAGGCTTCAATCCTATAAGGCTTTTGCGTAAGGATTGTGTTAAGAAATAATATTATATAAAATAATAATAGTGCCTTCACGTATGAGAGTCTCTATGACCAAGTGATATTGAGTTTGATCCTTGTTGTCCCCATTCTTCTAATAAATTTAAAAATAGTTTGTAATTTTTTAGCATAGGTAGATGGGCATGTGTTGTGTGAGTGTGTGTTAGAAGTATAATATAAAATATAAAACCATCAATGTGCCTTTGCTTAACGGCGTAAGCTTTTGGGTTGAATCGGTTATTTACACTTATAGATGGGCTGAGCAAAACAAATGCAATCACCATTCTCCACAAGTGTCTTCTCAAAATTTTCCTTCAAGATGGCTCTTATTTACTTATGTAACCATTAATGACTGAAGGCGCTGTATACACCACAAACAAAAAGGAGGGAAGCATGTAAAAATCACCAACCTCTCAAATTATTGAAAAATGGAAGGTCCACAAGAATTTTTTTCATTGGTTTACAGTGTATTGAACCTAGGGAATGGATACTCTCATATCTCATGATTTCATGTGATGCAATCTCAGCCATTTATAGACAAATCAACGGTGTTTTATCTATCCTAACGTTTTCTCTCTATCATATCTCATCACCATTGATTTGTTTATGGACGACTGAGATCATCTCACGTGATGTTATGTGACATGAGAGGATCCATTGTCATTGAACCTATGACCTCTCTATCCCAACACAACCCCACCAATAGCTATAGTTACCAGGTTTGCTCATCATCCTGCGAACTGTTAACCAATTCCTGCATGGTACTTGTAGTGTAAAGGTTTTGAGATCATAATTTGATGAAGTGATGGACCCCATACATCATACCAGAGTATTGCAAACCTGCTAACTATGCTCGTAGCATTTGAGCTAACCTTATTGGTGGATGTCCATAGGATTTGCCGCAATAAACTGTATTTATGCAGAGAGAAATAGCTATGAATACTTTCCATAGAACTTCGTCAATATGCATGAGCCCCAAAAAGGAAGTGGAAAAGAAAAAAAAAGGTCAAACTAAGATGTATTTTGAGGGTCAGCATTACATACTATTCCTATATGTACAGATTTTTTTTTTTCATATTCTAGGACCCAAATTCCAATCATTACAAATTGCAGGACTGAAAAATAGAATGACATAGTGGGAAGCTTTGTGTTTTTTTTCTATGTCGTATTATTTTGAAGATATTTGTTTGCTTACAATAGATTAGGCACAGAGGAGAAAAAATGAGAAAAAGCTGCCTTGTGAGTCCTTGAATGTGGAAGATAATTTGGATGGTGGAAAATCATCAATGCTACTGGAAATCTGCATAAAAAAAATCACTAGTCCATTTGGTGATTTCCATATGGACAAACCAAGAAATAAATCCAGTGTAGCCTATTAATTCTACAGTGTTAAAATGGTTCAAAATTAGTAATTCGGCAAATTTTTCAAACGTAACATTACAAAAAAAAATTACTTTTATGTGACAAGTTTGTTTTCTTAGCTTCCTTGTGGTTTTCTCTGCTCATGGACTTTTTAAGGGCGTTTCTATGTCTATTATGCAAAGGGACTTGGGAGGTTTCGTGATCCTCCTCTTTTCTATTATTTCCTCTCTTAATGAATTATTCTTTTGTAGCAAAAAACAAGGCTGGAAGCAATTTGATGTTCTGCTAACAATATTGCATATAAAGTAGAAATATAAGCTGCCATACATGATTGAGAATTCCTACTAACAATTTGTTTTTACTGGAAACATGAATCAGATTTCTGATTTTGTTTTTGATTGGTTGAAAAATTGATTTGTGAGGGGGGCATGTAATCCTAAAGGTAGTGTTTGGTGCATGCATAGAACTGAATGGAATGCAACTGTTCTGTTCTTTTCTTGGTACCATCTCTTTTTCTAGAACCAAAATGTATCTCTTTTTAACTGCATGTCCTATTTTATTCTAATTTTAAAATGCACCAAATATAGAACAAAACCCATATGTTCTATTCCGTTCGGTCTTACACATCTACCAACACTACCTGAATGTGGCACTTCAAAATTTAAATTCCTGTACCATAATTTCTCTCGTCTCTTTTATTGATTGTGTGCCTTTAATTCTTCTCCCATCCGTTCTCCAACCAGAAAAAGGGACCCTGTGCTCCTATTTGGCAAATAATATGGTGACAAGTTTGTCCATCATTGTTTTATGTTGCACGTTCATTAATTTTATTTCATTTGCTTCACTCTTCAGGCTCAAAAAGCAGAAAGGGATGCTTCTGATCTAAAGGGCACCATGAGAAAAAGGATGGAATTCCTTGATTTTGATTAGAACCTACTGCCATCTTTATAATCAAGTTGGTCCCATCTGCAAATTTTAATGCAGCTGTGACTGAAGTTGGATAGTGGGTGGAAGAATAAGTATGATAGATGGGCATTTGTCTTCTGTGAAACTAGCAAGATACCAGACAGAATACTTGACAGCTAAAATCTTTTTGTAGCAGGGGTCAAGAAAAAAATTGATCTTTTGGCTTCTCTAGAGAGCAACCAACAGTTGTCATGCCCTGTTGTTGCATGTGGATTTTGTGCTAATGCATTTGGGGGCATGTTATTGAGCTCTTAAATTCTAGTTTGGTTTTAGAAAATCAGATATGGTGAAGATGATGATTTTCATTGTTTGTGCTCATTTGTAATGCCTTCTTCAGAATATTGTTTTTGTTTTTAGTTTGTGCTTTCTGCAACAGTAGAGTAACCATTGTATCTTGGTTGTTATATGCATGGCATAGTTATTTGTCTTTTATCAAGTACCGCTGCTGCTTCCTTTAAGTGTTTCTTATACCAGTTCAATGTTGTATAATAAATTTAAAGGATAAAAGTTTCTTAATGCTTTTAATAATAATGTGTGATTAAATTATTTTATTGTGTTTAAAATACCCTACTGGGTTTCAAAGGAACTGGTTATAGTGTGATTAAAATAGCTGAAGCTTAAACCTTTTATAACTACTGAAGGGGGAAAAAAGTGAGTTTTTCTTAAAAATTATCTAAATGAAACATGCACTAATAAGATATTGAACTATAATTTTTTTTTTTTCCTTTTTCTTTTGGGTGTGTGGTAACTAAGTTGAAAGGGGTTAGGATAGTAATAGATTTATGTCCTGTATGAGTATGGTTTGCTTTAAGATTTTAACTACTTTTACATATGGAGCAAAATGATGGGAAAAAGAAGGATAATGTTGTAGAAAAATGTTTAGGTTATGTTATAGAGATAGAAATTGTGGGATTCACACTTGTTTTCAAAAATAAAAAAATATGGATTCTATAATCTCTATCTCTATAACATAACCTAAACACTTTCTTATAACATTATATTTCTATTTCTCCAAAATGATATGGGTCTATAGGTTCTATTCAAAGATTGAACACTTCTTTTATTTGAGATACGCAGCTTGCTTCAGTTATGTCATTCCATTAACTTTTAGTACTGTAACAATACTTTCCTTAACGCTCTTATTTGTTAAACCACAATTCAATTCGTTAGAAGTTATTCAATTTCTAAAATAAGATACACATTTTATTCACCCATGCAGGATATTATAAAATAGAGAAAGGACTAATTTATCTATATCCCTATATCACATGCACCTTAAAAGTCCAATCATAGAAACCCTCAAATTCTCTGACATCATTCTGTATTGCTGGAGTCCAGCCTTAACCTGCATTTGCCTAAATTCTGTCTGCGAGTGTGACACTATTTTAATTCATTAAAACAAATGGACTCAGTTAGAGTATTGGTGAACCAGCTCACAGAGTAAGCAAGCAATTGTAATAAAATTGAATTAAAAAATAAAATAAAATAGAAGGTTCAGTCATTTGTTGTTTGGTTCAACTTAAGTGAGAAATTTTGTTTGGTTAATTGTTTCTTTTGCCAATCCTTAACTTGGTGTCCATCTTTCTGGTTGCTTGAGTCAACAAGCAAGGAACCTTAAGGAAATGGAGGGACAATAACCAAATTGTTCACTAGAGACTAGATATTAATTAATATACGCCACATTAGTTACAACAATAAAAATGTTATTAAACTGAGAACCCACATAACTAGTGTGGGCTATTCTCATTGATTGATGCTATAAGTGAGGGGAACATGAGGGTCTACAGTCCCTTCTGGTTCTATTTTCTTGTTCTTGTTCTGTTTTTTGCTTCTTCTTTTCTCATCGCTGTACCAAGAACTTGTAATGCTAACTCTCCTTCCCCAATTAATATCCAATAATGCCATAACAAATGAAATAAATAAAGAGAAAAGAAAAGAGCCTTTGAAATTGGATATTTCATAAAGCAAGTTGTATTGCCTAATATAAAACAATAATATTTTTACACAAAAACAATTGAGAGTGAAACAGAAGCAATCCCTTGTATTTGATAGACATAATAAGAGGAAAACTGGAAAAATCCTAGAAGTATATACTTTTCACAACTAAAATGTAGGTCTTTACAAATTGTAGGGATGTTGTCCTAAAATGGTTTTATGTATAAGAATTGCACATACTTTGCAAGAGCTGATATCAGCAGAAAGAGGTTCAGCTTGGACTATGACATTTTGTTCTTTCAAAAGGACAATATATATGAAGTTATCCAATCCTTCTCCCTTTCTACCTTCTTGTCCTTTCTTCCATTCTTATCTGCCATCTATGTTTCTCTTGCACAAAATCACTGCTTACTGCTATGCTCTCAGAAGATCATTCATGAAAATTACCAATGGTTGGATTAAGATGTTGTACTGCAATATTTCCCAAGCCTGAAATTCTGATCACCTACCAAAGAAACTTGAACTAAGCTAGCTTATTAACACAATCTTTAAACCTGTAACTCCTCTATCCTTCTAATGGCTTCCTTCATGTTTAGTCTTTGATCAGGGTTGCTTTCTGTGCAAGCAGCCCCAATTTGGAGAAGTTCCAGCATCTGATTGAATGAGTTGTTATTTTCTAACTCAGGATCAATCAATTCTGCTTCTCTTCTCTCAGAAATTGCTGTGAGGACCCATTGCACAACATCAGTCCCACCCTTGCCATTGCTGTGATACTGAGAAGGGAATTTCCCAGTAATGATTTCAAGAATGATGATTCCAAAGCAAAAAACATCAGTCTTCTGTGAAACTTTCTGCCACTGTAAATAATCTGGGGATTTATAGGCAAACATTGCCTGCACGGCAACATTGGGGTTGATCAGTGGATGAAAGGCAAAGTCACTTAAGAGAGGCTCGTAATCATCACTTAGTAAAACATTGCTAGATTTGAGGTTTCCATGGGGCAGATCGTAGGTTGAAAATTCAGTGTAAAGGAATCCCAACCCTCTTGCAATTCCCTTAACAATCTTCAAACGGGTAGGCCAATTCAGATCAGCATGGCATATTCCTCTATCACCTGATAAAACATAATGATACATTCCTTGTCATCATATATAATATATATTGAAACCCCAATGTTTAACAAGGTTAAATTATTAGATGCTATAAGGCTCTGGCTATGAGCAAGTCCATGGAAAGGTCAGACCCATTCTGTAAGTCAACCTTATCTTACATTTGCAAAATGGCTAATTAAAGGCTCTCCCCTTGACTTGCAAGGGTAGGGATGGGAATCGATTGTGGCGCAGCCTTACCCTTGCATTTTTTACAAAGAAGTCATTTTTAAACCCCGAACCGGTGACCTTTTGATCACAAAGAACAACTTTACTGCTGCTCCAAGGCTCGCTCTTGCAAAAGGGCTAATTACATGAATAAAACCTGTGAACCTATGACCTCAGCTAGCAAGGTGACAACACCAATTGTATCGAGATTTTCTTTTCCATTATGGAAAATAGGATTCTCTCATGTCACATTACCTCCTCATGTAATACAATCTAAGCCATCCATAGATAAATTAAAAGTTATTTTTTTCTAATTAGGTGACATGTGAGGATCGTCCCATAAAACATACCTAAATAAAGGTGTGCTCTATCAAATCCCATTCCCACCCACAAGAGATGAAACAAACATGAAAAGAACAATACCATGCAAGACGTATAACAAGCTTCCTTTGGGCATGTACTCTGTAACAAAAAGCTTCTCCTCCTTGCGGTAATGGTAAGCCAAAGGACTCAAAATATTGCGGTGTCTGATCCTCCCAAACTGTCTCATCTCAGCATCAAACACATCTCTTCCAATTTTATTCATCTCCCTCATCCTCTTCACCACCACAGACAACCCATTAGCCATGGCAGCTTTATAAGCAGAACCCAACCCACCATTTCCCAGAACCTCAGCAGCAGCCTTCATCAAATCCTGCAAACCAAACACACCCTTTTCATCATTGACCATCACAATATCCCCCATTCCACCACTCTTCGAATGCGAGTGCCCTTTTCTCGATTCTCCACCACCCTTTCTGCTGATAGGTTCCGATGAATGTTGTTTAATACTAGGCACATGCACCTGCACAACCTCATCCACACTACTCGACCTGCTAATAATGCTGAAATTATTCCTACGCTGCCTCGACTTAACAAACAAGAAAATAACCGCAGCAACAGCAGCAAGAACGAGAATCACAATCACCTTCACAGCCCAACCCGAACCGTAACCACTGTCATTATCAGTACTGTTAGGAAGCGTATAATAAGAAGAAGAAGAAGAAGAACCATCACAAGGCTTCTCAAGAGGCTTCCCACAAAGCCCTTCATTCCCAGAGAAAGAAACAGCACCATACTTGGACAAGCTTTCAGGGATTGGACCTTCTAACTTGTTGTTTGAAACATCGAAGGATCTTATGTCTTGTTTGAGGTTTGGTATAGGCCCTGAGAATTGGTTATATTCGAGGTGAAGCTCTTTGAGAAGGTCGAGTTGTGTTAACGAAACGGGTATGTTACCTGAGAAGGTGTTACCTGAGAGCCACACTTTCTTTAAGGAACCTAAATGGGAGAAGAAATCTGAAGGAATGGGACCAGAGAATTGGTTTTGTGTTAACAAGAGCGATTTGATTGTGCCAAGTTTGTTGAATTCTGGAATGGGTCCTGAGAATGAGTTGTTGACGAAGCTGAGGGTTCGGAGGCCACGAATCTCGGCGAGAGCTTCGACGTCGATCTTGCCGGAGAGTCCTAAGTCGGAGAGGTGCAAACCGGTGATGATGTTGTTGAAGCAAACGACGCCGACCCAAGTTCCTGAGCAAGGGGACACGTTCGGGATCCACGAAGCTAAGGCTCGGTCAGCGTTTGTGAAGGATTGTTTGAGCCTGAGGAGGGACTGGCTCTCCGATGGTGCGGCGGCGGCGGCGGCGTAGAGAGAAGGAGAAGAGAGAGAGAGTGAGAGGAGAAAGAGATGTGAGAGAATAGTTGTGGCGGCAGCGGCAGCGGCGGCGGCGGCCATTGCTTGCACGCAAAGGATTGAAATGGCCCGCTGCTCGGAGAGATTAAGGTGGTTGTTGTTTTTTGTTTTTGTTGATGATGTTTTTTGTTGTTGTTTTGTTGGAAATGGGAAGTAGTAGGAAAAGAGAGGTGGTGTGACATCGTTGTTGGTTTTGGATGTGAGAGGGGGTGTGTTTGTGTTTAGTGTTTTGGAGAGAGGGGGATTGGTGTGGTGATGATGGTGTTTAGCCAGAAATACCATTGGGTTCTAAGAATAGAGGTTGCAATAAAATGAAGGTGCCTCTCCTTTCAATTGATTCCGATTCTTTTGGAGTTGATATAGCTGCATTTCCTGCTTCATGCAATGCAATGCTGCATTTCCGGAATGCCATTGCCATGCATGGACTCCTTACTATGCTCCATCCGAACATTTTTCTCATTTTCTGCCGCTTTTTTTAATGTCAACTTTTTTTTTTTTGTGTTGTTTAAAAACAGAGCAGATATATCATACATGTTCCAACTTCAAAGTTTTATATTATATATATGTTTTTTATTTGGGCAGCTTATAAAATTTAACTGGCCAATATTTCTATCATCTAACATGATAAGAAAAAGCATTATGGCTTCTCCATAGAATATTGTGTCAATATTTCTTTTCTTTTTTTCATTTCTTTTTTCACGATGGGTCCCACCAAAGTTTGTTTGTGTAGAAAATTGGTTTTCTATTATGTTACATAACATGTGTATTTCCCATATTTTTATCATGTTACGTCAAAAGAAATATACCTCTTACACACTCATCAAAAAATGTGCCTTGAGTTTTTTTTTTAAATAGGTGGGCCCTATATGTTTTTTGTTTACAAAAGAGAAATTATCTTATATGATATGAGACTCGTTTTCTCCAAAATTTAAAGGGAAATTATAGTCTCATGTTTAGTGTTTTAAATACTGACTCGTACTGACCGAGTCTTGGTGACCCAGTGGGTTCCCCAGTTCGAGCAGTTATTTGAATCGATTTTGCAATCAACTCAGTTTGGACCAATTGACCCGGCCGAGTCTCAATGACTCGGTGGGTTAAACGAAACCCAATTTAGACCGGTTAGCCCTCTTTTTTTCTTTTTTGGTAAATCTTTATTTTTTTGGTTACTGAGAACTCTTGAATTAAATCATGCTCATATTTTGTGGTAAATATAATTATAAAGTTAGGTGAAAATAACGAGGAATTTTGGATTAGTGCATTTCTTTTGTGTAAGTTAGTTGCATCTTATAATGATCTCAAGAAGTTAAGTGAAGATAAACATTGATGGTCTCATCTCAACATTGAACATTTTCTTCTTAGTGTATATTTCATGCCTACTATTTGTTATCATGATTTAATTTATATGCGTTATGTCAAAGCATGAGAGGTACATTTAGCTTACATTGCAATTTTAATTTAATATTAAGATATGGTCTACTATTAGAAGTATATAATATCTGCTATCATTGAGAACCAATTTATTTTTTAAAGCCCATTGATAGTTTTCTTATGTGAATTTTTAATATAAGTAATATATTTGTTTATGTTTTGCTAATATGCGAACAGTAAATCCGGTTGAACCAATGATCTAATACCTCGACTGAGTTGACTGGTCCGAAATTTTAAAACATTACTCTCACATAGAAAATTGTGCCTCCTTTTTCTTTTTTCTTTTTTCTTTTTTTTTAATTAGTGGATCCCATTTTATTTTTCTCTCAACATAAGAGAAGTTATCTATGAAAAAAAATAATCCCCAAATTTAGATTCAAGATCTTTATTCTAATACCAACTAGACTTCTTTTTAATATTTTTTGGTTGTGTCTAGGTGAGCCTTGTAAGTTTTTATGTTTCAACCAATTATGAATCTCAGAGAGGGAGTGAGGTTTGCTACTTGATGCAGCATCTAAAAGAAAGATCCATACCATATGTGAAACTTCGCTGATTATAGTTTAAATGATAGAAAAAACAATAGTAATTTCGTTTTGTTTAAAAGAATCAAAACCTTGTGTCAATTGTAAAGCTCGTACTGGAAACACATTATACGTTTAATGAAGTAAATAAAAGACATTACTGGTGACTACAGCACAATGCATGTTCATTCCGGATGCATATCTTCCTTTCTTCAAACCACAGTACTACCGCGATGTGAATGCCTGCATTGCATATGTGAGAACTTTTGTCACTAACATCCTCATCATCCATACATATAATATAACTTGTCTAAAGTGAAAATTGTTATGGCTTATACTCAATGCTATATGACCAACACAAATAGACAGTGAATTGGGAAAGGGATTGTCATGCATTGTGACACAACATCTCAATCCAAAAAACTTAATGACATTAAGACTATATGTTGTTCTTACTTATATATTTATTACTTATGTGAGACTTAATTACTTAACTCTCATTTTTGAATTTCCAATAAGAATAGACTAATAAACATTACCGAGAAAATGTTGCAGTGACCAGGATCAGCAATGTGTGCCATCAAATTTTCAATGGGGCCTTCACCAGTATAAATAGCTTGGAACCAAAATCCAACAAAAGCAAGCATTGCAAGACGACCATTCTTGATCTCCTTGGTCCTCAACACCATGACTGGCTCAGGGGACCCTCGTCCCCACATCATGGGGTCAAACCACAACCCACCAGGGTAACCAACATCAGGCTTTGGGTTAGGCCTATTTGGCAATTTAGGCTCAATGTCAACACAACCTGGGTTAACCATATCAGCCCATCTTCGACCCTCAACCCAACCCATCAAGAGTAACTGTACAAAAAACAAGGTTGTGGGATCTGTAAAGTACTCTCGAGCACCAGCATCATACCAAGAGAAGTTCTTAACATAACCATCCATTTCAAGCAATTCCGGAATGAGAATTCCAGACACTCCAAGCATTGCCCATCTAGCATGCATTAGCTCTGCCTGAGCAAACCATTTAAGCAACTCTGGATCAGACCCTGACCAAAGTTACCACATAGGTTAATTATCTACAACCTCATAAACTGAACCATTTTGAAGTACATAGTAAAAGAAATTAACAGTTACCTAATCCAAGAGGGTCAAAACCAAAATCACCGGGAAGACTGCAATAGGTAGAAAATTAGACAATTAATCCAAAGTGTTTGATAATATACTCTGGCATTTAGTTGTAAGCACAGGCCGATTACATTCTCAATTCTTTTTTCTTCTTTAGACCATTTTTTATTTATAAAACCTTATATTCACAGAAAAAAATTGAAACTGTGATTTTGAGAAATGTATAGAAAGCATTAGAGATATTAATATAAGATCATCAATGTGGATATTATATTCCTCTAACACATTCATGTGAGGATTGAAATAATGACCACTTGGTTACAATTAGATGTCCCAATCCAGGTTGACACAATGCGAAGCAAATTTGAATTTGGATTAAAACCTTCGACATAAACACCGCGCTTATTTTATGGATCGAGATTCTCAAAGTTTGTCACTTATTATATGAGTTGACATGACATACATGACACAAATAATCTGTCAAGTTCAAAATGTATTGTTTATTATGCGGATTTGACATGATACGACAAGACAGAATAACTTGTTTACTACACTACACGACATGAATAACGTCTAAGAAGATTAAAATGATTAATTTCGTGTTTGCAAGTTGACAAACGGCACAACCCAAATATCTTTGTCAGTTTATTAGAACACGAATTTGAAAATAGATTGAATGTGTTGAAAATTGTACCCTTAGTTATAATTATATAAAACACCAATTCAACTCAAAAATTGAAATTGTTGCCACACATTAATGGTTTGATATCAGACTATTTCTCTAACAAAACTGGTTTACCTGCCATCAAGCCACGGAGGAGGTGAACTACCAGGGAACCACAATGGTCTATCTGGAGGAAGTGGTTGACACACGTCTGACACTCCTTTCGTTGCATGTGTAATGGTTGTTCTTCTCGTTATGGTCAAACATGTGGCTGTCCTTTCTGGGAAAACCTTTTGACGTGTTTCTCTAAATCCAAACAGAAAGTATAAAGTTTAAGAAGCACCGGAATGAGCTTTTATAAAATAGTGCAAGTGGTTGAGCATATATAAAAGTAACTGACCTGTTTGGAAGGCTTGACAATGCAGTGGAGGAAATGGCTAAAGCCATGAATCAGAGAATGGCAGAAATGTTTGGTTGGAATGGAACAAAGGTCCCGTTTCAGTTTTTCTAACACTTTATCTACTTTATCTGGATGATGTATAACTTGTGATTTTCTGCTTTGAATGAAAATATGCAAAGGATGGACCAATGGTATTTGAAATTGACACGTGCCCAGGATATGCTTGCATTTGAAAAGAAAATGTGAATTAAGCCAATTTGAAAAAAAAAAAATGATTTGGGCTGGGATAACAGAATTAAGCCCAGGGAATAATTTAATTTGTAAAATCCAGTTCTGGGCCCAATGTGAAATTCATTATGTTTGGTCGAGGATAAGTTCTATACTTTCCCACAAAGAAAATCAAAGTATATTTGGGTATTGTTTGGTTGGGGAGAAATTTTTTAATACTAGGAAATGTAAATACTAGGGATCTGCAGGGAAAGTGAGTTAGATAGGAAAGTTTTAAAAAAGTTGTTTAGTTGGGCAAAATTTTACCAGGAAAATTGAATTAAATTTCTAAATGTGTGTTTGGTTGAAGATAAAATATTGATGGGAAAACTTAATGAAATTACAAAACTATCCTTGTAAAAACACCTTGGTTTTATTACAACCTTCGAACCACAAAAGAAGGAGGGGTAAAGTTGTCATGCCTTCATCACCTTTTTCATTTATCTGATTTTCACAGCAATTCCACCTGTTTTGACGGCTTCCTCAATAGTACATAAACCCGTTTTTTGCTTGTCTTCCTGATTTGCTAGGCAAAGCTAATTGATGGGCAAATCTACCGAAAAGCTTCAACCAAACGTGGTTTCATCAGATTCCCACATGTACTTTGCCAGCAAAATTTTCACTTCTCCCCAACCAAACACTACCTTGATAAACGAGTTCATTAGTTATAGTCAAATATACTGAAAATGTTAAAATTTGGTAGAAAGAGTTTTGTTCTCTTTGTGGTCGTACCATATTCGAATCTTAATTAATCAGCACTTATTGGTGATCGAATACAAGATGATTATAAATAAATAAATAAAAAAGTTGCAGATTTTATGTTAAAAATTAGTGATGTTGGTGATTGATGAAATGATATTTGCGTCATGATGCAGGGACTATAAATTATTGAAAGAAGTTGCTGATATGCAAATGGTGCTCTTGATGAGTTTAGGATTAGTGGATTGATATAAATGTGTTAGTTGAGAATTGACATAATATTAGAATTTGAGAGGGATTAGTTGTATTGTATGTGTGTAGAAAGGAACCCCCCGCCAGCTCACCGAATCCATAATCCATATGCTCATAGATGATACCGTCATGGTACCGCAAAAAGGGACGTTTGATTTGCGTTAGAATTATGCATTTCTAGAAATAATTAGCAATAAAGAGTAGAGTTTGAATCACTTTTTTGGTGTTAGGGTTAAATAAATTTCTCATTGTTTGACTCAAGATTAATTTGTATTTATGCTTACCATTTTCCCACCTAATTGTAAAATTACGGAGGATCTAACTCGCCCAAAAAATAATTAGCGTTATAGAATAAAAACTAAATCAAAAAATTTCTATAGTATTACTTTGAATCACTTATATTCCTATGCTTTTTATTAATCACTTAATTCATGTGATTTTTTCCATCAACACCCCTACTTAACATTATTTGGAACTTAATTAAATATACCTATTTTACCCTTCTTAGAAGAAGAAAATAAAGTGATAAAGAAATAAGATGAAATATTATAAAAGCTTAGAACACTTAATAAAAGACTAAAAGAAAAAAAGGAAAAAAATTAAATGTGTCTAAATAAAAATATATATAAATAAAGACAAAAAAAATAGAGGAAAAATAAAAGTCAAATATGTTAAAAATCACAACCAGAAAAGACTAAAATAAAAAAATAAAAAAAATTAGTCCATATGAAAAAAAATACTAAAAACGAAAAACTAGAAGAAAAATTAAGATACAAAATAAAATAAAATAAAATCACAATTATGAGTTTTCAATATATTTGATTTGATTTTTTAATTTATTTTATTTTTTTGTCCTTGATCTATTTATTTTTTTATTTTAGATATGTTTGGTCTTTTTTCTAATTTTATAATTTTTACATTTTGGTCTATTTTATTCTGATTTTTTTTTTAGTCTTGTGACTAGGGGTGTTAACGGGCCGAGCCGAGCCGAGCTTTGGTCTTAAAAGGCTAAGCCTGTGTTTAAATGTGTCAGCATGACCAAGCATGTTACCTGTATGAATATAATTTCAGCCTTTGGCCTGTCTTATTTACAAAAAATAAAAGCCTGATTTAGCCTGTTTAAAACAAAATAAGATAACAAAAATTTATCCAAACAAAATATACAATCAACATCACTAGTAATTTCATAAATATTCATAAATTTAATGATATCCAAACAGCATAATATAAAACAAAATCATTCAAAAAGTCTGTTTAATTAATAAAATAGGATGAAATGGATTGAGGAGAGAGAGAGCTATCACTAGTAGTATAAAAAATATAAAATAAAAATAAAAATTAATATATTAGGCCAGCCTGAGAGGCTCTAAGGCCGAGCTTTTAAATTGAAGCCTAGAGCCTTTTTATTAAACGAGCTTTTATACAATTCCAAGCAGAGTTCCAACAATCAATTTTAGACATAAAAGCTCAGGCCTTCACGAGCCAAGCCAAAGGCCCCTGGCTCATTTAGCACACCTACTTGTGACACCCCATCTACTAAGGATTTTCATAAAAAAATTAAAAAAGAGAGAGAGAGAGAGATAGAGTAAAATAAAGGTATAAAAAAGACCAAACATATATAAATAAAAAGAATTAAATAGATCAAGGATAAAATAAATAAATATATTAAAAATTCATAACTGTGATTTCTTCATGTTCTATTTTTTTATTTTATCTTTTATCATAATATTTTCTTCTATTTTTTTGTATTCAATGTATATATTTTTTATTTAGATTCTTTTAAATTTTTTAATATTTTAATTTTTTTCTGTCACTGTTATGATTTTTAACGTATTTGGTCTTATTTTTCTTCTATTTTTGTTGTCCTTTTTCTATTTTTTATTTAGACATATTTGATCCTTTTTTTCTTTTAGTCATTTATTAAGTATTTTAAGTTTTCATAACTTTTGGTCTTTTTTTATCATTTTCTTTTCTTTTTCTAAGAAGGGTAAAGTAGGTATATTTAGTTAAGTTTCTAAAAGTGTTAAGGATGGCGATAGATGAAAAAACCACATAGGTTTAAGTGATTAAAAAAAAGCTTTAATTTTTCTACAGTGAATATAGATAAGTTATTTACATTTACTTCCAAAATTACGTCGTTTTGAACTGAAAAATAAAAAAATTATAATAAAAAATATTATTATAACCCTGAAATAAATTATAATTATATAAATACCTTGATTTTTGTCCCAAAATAATGTCATTTTGGACTCAATATAGATAATTTATCTACATTGACCGTAGAAAAATTGAACCCTTAAAAAAAACATAGAGATGTAAGTGATGCAAAACATAATAATGGGGGATTTTGAACTTTTCCCTAAAAAAATAATAATTATGAGCTATAATAACTTTTTCTATATATATATATATAGGGTTAGGATCATTTTACACCAATGTAAGTTACACTTTCAATCTTGACCATTAATCTCACTTATATCTAAGGACTCTAATTTTTTAATAATATGAGTCATTGGATACAAGCGGATCAATGCTCAAGATTGAGTGTAAGACTTCTAACTCTTACACTGATGTAAGAATATATATATATATATATATATATATATATATATATATATATATATATATAAACTACAAATTGCTAAAGAAAACATATTGCTAAAGTTTCATTTTCATCTCAGATGTTTTCAAAATTTATCAAATTGATAAGTTTTGCAAATAATTACACCATCTTACGAAGATCTTTTAAATTAGTGGCTGAGACGAATTCATATGTTTTTGCACAATATGAGATGAAAATAAAATAATATTATTATATGATGAAAATAAAACCTTAGAACAAAATTAATGAACAAAAGGTAATGCTTTTCTTATAATGAATTTTTTATTTATCAATTTCATTTTTTTATATATGTTAATTGTGCTTTTCGTGCAGATTAATTACTAAAATTGCATTAAATTCATTATCACTATAAAAGATAGTATTGGAGGTTTTTTTTTTGATACAATGATAGAAATTGTGTTAGAAATTTTTATAATAACTGTGGGCTTCAATCAATTGTAGTTTTTCTTATTTTAATAAAAATGGGCTAAGTCATGATTCATATAGGGATGCAGTATAAAGTCCAGATAATTAGTGATCTTTTTGTTTGGACTTGGATATCTGTAAACTGATTAGTATGGGTAACAGTGTAGACCTAACCCATTGACCCATGATGGGAAAGAGACTATGGTTAATAAGTTTGGCTAGGTCCCCTCTGCATTCAAAACGTATTGAAAAATCGTCACTCCACAACTCGCCCCATTGACGGTTGTGATCAGGGAGTGGTGTGAATTGCATAGGAAGATCTTGGTATTTCCACTGCAGGAGTATTAGAGGAAACAAGAAGTCTTCAATAAATCAAAAATCATGTCTTCAACAAGTAAGCCTGTACTGATGGAATCAGTAAGCCCACTGTGTACCCTGATAGGGTAATATCAATATATGGATAATACCTTCAGCCAAGGTAAAGACCTGGCTAATAGGCAATGTTCCAAGGGTTTGGTGAGTTAATATCAATGGCAGATAATGAGCAGTAATGAGACTAAATACAAATGGGCATAACAACAGTACATAAAATCTATCTTTCTATGTGTGGAAGGAGTGGTATTTATAGAGGTCCTATGTGCTGATCCGTTGAGGGGTCCTCTTCTGGAGGTCAACGCTCCTTGGGGCCAGCTATGATTAGCTCCCATAGCTGGAGTAGGCAGTGATACAGTACCTGCTTCTGGCGATGGCAGCATGGGACAGAGGGGCGTTTACCTGTAATGGTATCTGGGGCGACTTGCAGAGGGTTGGGGTTCCTAGGAGAGGCATTTTTGTGTCTCGCTTAGGAACGCGACCGCCTAGGGACTAGCGCTTGGTCGATGC